CATTCCTCCAACTGAGAAATAGTCTGGGTCAGCAATGAGGTACAAGCAGATGCACACTGCCTGCACACTGCCACTTCTGTTCGTGTGTGAAACACTCGTGAATAGCAATAAAGAACCTTGTTGTGTCACAATTGTGTGTGGCACAGGTGGGGTGTACGCTGGCATTCTCTTTATACATACATACAGAATAACAGAGTGGTGCTCACAACTTGTTGACACCGTGAGACCAGTGAAGATAGGGCCCCAAGTGTCTAGCTGCACAGACGAAGGACATCTCTTGGCATTCATGGTGTAGAGGGCGTGTTGAGAGTGTATATATATGCAGCTGGTTGCACCAAGTCACGCTGAATGTAATGAAGTATTCGAGGTCCTCTGGTAGCCATCACAGAAATTCCTTCTATGGCAAGCAGATCACTGATCGCACGCGCGTCAACAAGCTGGCAGCTCCCTGTTGCAGTACTGCAGGCGCGGGAGTTTGATGAGCACCTAATCTTAGCTCTTGGGTCAAAGCGCCTGGCGAGCCGCCGAAGCGGCGAGAGACCCTCTGGCCAGAGGGGAAAGAGGAAGAGAGGGAAGCTGCCCTTCCCGCCAGTGCGGTTCCCGCGCTAAAAATTCTCCAGACTATAAGTGTTGCATGCAGACGCGTTCTCGGTACAGCACTCTTCGTCGTGGGAGCGTTCTTGGGGCCTCCAGAGTCCATGCGCGTTTCACCCAGTGATACAAGTAGTAGTGTTGAGTAAATATTGGTTCCTTTAACATGTAGGATATATAAATAAGTCATATATAATATCCTTTCCACTTCCGGAGACTCCCAAAACATACATCCTTTCTGCCACATTAGATGTAACTAATATCGACGTTCGTGTACGAGGTCGAGACGGTAGTAAGGACAGTATTATTCTGCTCTAGGTCTATAATGGTCGCGCCAGAGATGCCGACAGGGCCTGAAATGGTCTCCGCATTCGCACCAGCGAAGGTGATCTTGCCAAAGTTGGGAAAGGGGAGGGGGACACCGTCCCCGCCGATGCCCTGTAGGAGCCAATGCGCATTCTCCCCGCACAGAGGTTCGGTAGAGACGACGTCGAAGACGGTCTGGCCCGTGCTCTGGTTAATAATGTAAACCGTGCTTGACGTTGTGTTTGTCATGGCGACGTTTATCATGATGGCGTCGCCCGCCGTAAGGGACATGTCAGGGGAGGAAGAAATGGCGTTATCACCAAAAGTCTGGTAAAAGACTAGGAGGATACAGATGGTCTGTCAGCATGCAAGGAAGAGAGCAAGGTGCGCGTACTGACCATTAAAGGTTTGTGAACCGCTCTGGAGATTGAATTCGATACCAGCTGCGATGCCGTTCGGGCATGAGAAGGTATCGAGGCCGACAAAGGCGGATCCGCCGTAGGCTGTGGAGGTATTAGGGTCCTCGCCCTCAGGCACACCAAGCGACGGAACGATGAGCGTCGCCACGGCACCCGTGAATGTGCCCTATGCGGAAGCCAAGCCTGTCAGCGCGCGTAACGCACAGAGGCATAAGACACTCACCGCAGACGCACTCAAAAAGGCGCCGGCCGAGGATGCGGAGAACTCGGTGTCGTTCGCCGGCGTGTTCCCGCCGCTGGAACGACGGGCGATGGAGACCTCGCGATAGGTCTTGGGGGACGGCAGCGACACAACAGTCGCGGCAACGAGAGCCCATACAAGGGCTATGAGGCAGTACATGGCGGTGCGAGCGATGTAGAGCGAAAAGAGCTGTGCGGCCGTCGAGCCAAGAGACGCGGGGAAGCCGTGGTTTGGTTATGGTGGTTGGGCGAGCTTATATACGTCGGAGACCTGTCCAGTAAGCACCTACGCGCCATGACGATCCTGGGGCACACCTTCATGCACGGAGCTTCGCGAGCCAGGCTCGGAGCAGGTCACTGGCAGGTCTCATCCCAATCACGGCCGTTACTACTCGAAATGTCTCAAATCAGGGTTTCAAAGTTTTGCTTTAGACTGACTTTGATGGCGATTCAGACGTCGGAGGTGCGGTTTCGGGTCCTGAAGTGACGTTGAAGTTGATGTTCAGTCGCGGTCTCGGAGCTGGATGCGGGCCTTGCTCATTGTATGAACTCTGGAATTGGCAGTCGAAGCAGCTTCCGACCGCTGCTCTCGGTCATGTCGGTCATGTCGCCACACGCAGTGCCACTGCTTTTCACGTTCCTATTCTCCTACGACTAATATCTGTGAGTTTTCGAACCTGCAGCGCGAAACATACGACCGACAACAATTTCCCAGGGCATCCGGAGGTGTCTGAAAGCGTCTGTAACGTTTGAGAGTCTAAGACAGTCATACGCTAGCGCCAAGAAACATGTCTGGCGCCAGACATGGCACGTCTGATCCCTTGCGGCGACGCCCGGACATGAGACCAGCCGCTTCTGCCAACTTTAACCGATCAGCCTTACGATAATACCGAGCTGCGCGTCCTTTGTCAATCTGTGAGACTTGTGTCATTTGTGTTCCAGGCATCCAAGTCAGTCGGGCGGGCATGTACGGAGCATACGGCGTGAGAAAGGGAGATCGCGCCGGCAGCCAAACTAGGTGGATGTGGCAATTCTCGTAAGCAAACGAGTGGTTCAAAACCTTCGTATACCTGCATAGCCCTGCTTCTCACGCAAGCGCGGCCATCGCATGGATTGAAAAAACTCCGATTCGCAGCAGCACAGTATATTGCGCGCCGGCCCGCAGCGAAGTGACAGTAATAATCACACTACGCCGTTGTGATCTTAACACGCGCGTCCTTGCGAATCATTTTTCTAGCTCCGACGGAAACTTTAACGTCGTCTCTTTCCCAGATAAATATTGACCGCAACTGAGAAACTGCAATCAGCTAGGTATATGCGCCCAAGCTGTACGATACGTGCCCTGCGACCGCCCAGAGCCATCAGTATTCTCTTGTCTGGATGGTGGCGTGACGGAGTTCAACGGCCGTGACTACAAAGCCCTAGCTTCATACCCCGTGACACCCGCGACCCTGCCGCTCTGTACGGGCGAGACGCTTACGTTCCGATGTAAGCAACAAACGGTGAAGTCCAATCAAGCTAACATACTTTGATGGAGCCAGGCTGTTCTAAGTCATATGAAAAGGAGCGAGAATAAGTCGGCGGCTGGGGGTAAACAGACAGACGAATGCCTTGGGATTTCCGCATTCCTCGTCCGACCATGCTGCTTGGGCGACCCCAACTCGAGCTGTCCGTCTTCACCACGCGAGTACAGCCGTTCATGGCCCACGAGACTGACTCAAGCGCAACATTGGCTCTTCAGTGCGCGGTAGCTCTGACAGCCTTGTCGAACAGGCAGTCGTCTCTACAGACTGCAGTCTTTTGTCACGCCTTAGGATCTCCACACCTTGTCAGTATCGACAGAGAGGCAAACGAAGCGTGTCGCTCGTAGTATGTTGACATCTGGGCTACGCTGGGACCTGTCGAGATAATGATCTTCCGCGCTCCGATGGCCGCATTTCCGCCCTGCGACTCACAAGTGACGCAAAACACTAGGACCTACCGAGACAATTCCACGCCGCTGAGAACGACAGGCGTTGTGTTTAGACTGCTGTGACAAAGAAGAATATTTCGGAAGGGTCAGAGTGGAATATCAGGACGCATGTCAGCTACACACCATCACGCAGCCCAGCTCGCGCCCTTGCGGTCCAGCCGGTCAGCCCAGCTCCCCGGCCATCTTATTATGTCTACTTTGCAGGCCTCTTCATGAGGAGCAGTATCACCGGTAGTATACCGGGTTTCTGGTGCCGAGAACTGCCTTGTTTGGGGCTTCTCAGCGAGACGACTTCTGAGATGGCGAAAGAAACGAAGAAGCGGGTTGCGACGTTCTGCTTGTAGTCGCCACGGAGCATCGGGACGTCATCGACGAGTAAGACCAACGAGCCACACGGAAAGGAATACGGGGGGGTGTAGATAGATCGCCCTAGGTGGCAAGCGAAGGCGTAAACAGCCAGACGTGTAGTAGTCGCGTGCTATCGCGCGCGACTTTTCAGCCTGAGGGTGGTACGCGCAGTATAGTTCGCGTGTGTTACTCCTAGTTCGCCCTACTCTGTACTAGTCGGCCGGCTCGTCGAGAGTGCAGAAAGTGGGCGTGGGAAAAAGTGATACGTCTTCTCGTAACAATATCGCAAGCTGAAGAGACATGTGTGAAGGGATGCGGAGCTAAATATAGGAAATCGAGTCGGGCAATCATCGGGCGGCAACTAGAAGTCCCGCGTCCGTGACACCGTTACCTCACACCTCACAATGGTCACACTGGCGTGATGAACAAGGGCCATGCTGGGCCACGAGAATGATGAAACTCCGCGGCCGTCGCGGCCACAGCTGTGACAGGATGAGCGTCGCCAATAGCGACCGCAACGCGGACCACCTGCGGACCACCTGTCGGGAAAATCAGCTCGATCCTCGAAGACTCGGGATGGTGATGTACGCACCCGATAGTTGCGCCCCCACACCCGCCGATCATGCGTCGCCGGGGGTACATCCTGAATATCATGCTAACCGCCTACAGGCATCCGTCGAGCCAATGCTGTGGCACGATCACCGGCACCTTGGACCTTCTGTGTACCCCTCCGGGTATCCCCCCGCGAACAGCGCCAAGCTACACGACACATACGTTATGACCAGCGTCCAGT